ATCTGAATAGACATTTCTCAAAAGAAAATAGACAAGTGACCAAAAAGTATTTTTAAAATGTTCATCATCACTAATCATGAGGGAAATGTAAAACAAAAGCACAAGATACCATTTCATCACAGTTAGAATGCTTATAATAAAAATGACAAAAAAAAAAAGAGGCTGGTAAGAACGCAGAGAAGGGGAACTTAAATACATTACTTGAAAGAATGTGATTGGTATAGCCATTATGAAAAATAGTATAGAAGCTGCTCAGAAAGCCAAAAATAGAAAAGCTAGGCATGGTAGCAAGTGCCTGTAATCCCAGCAACAAGAGAGGTTAAAGCAGAAGCATCACAAGTTCTAGGCCAACCTGCACTACACAGTGAGACCTTGTCAAAAAAAAAAAAAAGCCCTAAAAACAGAAATACAATATGATCCAACTATGCCACTATTAGGTATAAACCCAAAAAAGGAAATCAGTATATCCCAGAGTTCCTTGTATGCCAATGTTTACAGCAGCACTATTCACAATAGCCAAGATATGGAATCAATCAATGTGTCTACTGACAGGTAAATAGATAAAGAACATATGCTTTATGTATATAATGAGATATTATCAGCCATAAAAAAAGGAATGAGAGCCTGCCATTCATGGCAATGTAACATTAACATAATGTAATATTATGTTAAATGCCCATGCCTACAGAAAGACAAAGTCCACATGTTCACTCATATATGGAAACTAAAACAATAATTTCACATAAAGAGAGAGTAAAACAGTATTCAACAGAAATGGGGAAAGGTAGTGGGTTAAGAAGATAGAGGAAGGTCAGAAAACGGTATCAAAATTCAGTTACATAGGAGGAATAAAAAGTTCCAGTTTTCTAGAACTTTTTACAACACAATAGGGTGACTACAGTTTATAAATGATCATATATTTTATGAATCAGAAGAGAGACGTTCCCAATATAAAAACATGATAAATGTTTAAGATATAAAATGCTAATTGCCTATTTGGTCGTTAAACATTACATACATGTATAAAGCTATAACACATGTAGCTTTACACAAATATGTATAATTTTTTTTAAAAAGTCACGGGTAGAGAGTAACTAGGTTCAGAAAAAGTTTCTCTACAATTTAAGGAAGTGAGTATGTGAGAAAAGAACCATCAAGCTAAATTCTGAATAGTATAGACTTTCATCTTCCATCTCATTTCTACATTTAAAAATATTCTTATCTTATACTGCCCATAAGAATTTCACCTTTTGATAACACTGAAGCAAAGAGCATATTCAATTCTTCATAAATGGCTGTATTACAGTTAAGTGAAGTATCTATGAAATAGGTAGAATAACTAATAATACTCCAAAGAAAAACTAAACTACTAATGTAAAAACATAGCCTTTCCTAATATTACCACCACAGCTTCAGTTCAACATGAATAAAACTGGAATGCATTCTAAGGAATAAAACAAAACTGTTATTCAATCTGATCCAGATATGTTAATATGAGAACCATTTCAGAATCATGTTACGTGTACATGACACTAATTTAAAAAGAGCTGCCATTGTCTGGTTTACAATGACAGTTTATACAGCTATTTAAAATTTTTTGAAAAATGTTAAAGCTATAAATTATGTAGGCATGTACTCAGGTGGACTAACACTGAAAAAGGTAGTTGGCCTGGCAGAGTGGTAGAGTGCCTGCTTAGTAAGTGTGAGGCCCCAAGTTCAAACCCCAGCACAGACCAGAGGAAAGGGAGGGAAAGAAACAAGGAGGGAGCGACGGAGGGAGGGAGGGTACTTGGTATAATAAACTACAATACTAATTTTTTCAAGTCATTAATCTTACTAATGCTCAAAAAGTGTTATCACTTTGTGGTATGCCCATTTAAATGTTCATCTGTGTCAAGACTCTTCTTGGGCTGGGGATGTGGTAGAGTGGTAGTGCACTTGCCTAGCATTCACAAGGCCTTGGGTTCAATCCTAGGCATCAAAAAAAAAAAAAAAAGTTCATCTTGAAAAGTCATAAATCAGCATGATACAATTTAATTCTGAAATCCACCCTATGTAATTTTATTTTCTAACCACTGCACAATATCAACCTGAATGAAAAAGTACAATGAGTTAGTCTGCACTAAAATAATTGTTTATTCTGCCAATAAGAGTGTGGTTTTAATTTTCCCTTTCCTATCACCTAGTGATGCTGAGCATCTTTCCATATGCATATCTCTTCCTATATACATATGAATTCGCTTTGGTGAAGTGTATGTTCAAATTCATTTGCCTATTTTTGCCAATTAAGCTTAAAATTTGTGTTCTTACTAAGTTACGAGAGCTTTTTGGGAGTTTTTTGTTTTGTTTTGTTTTGTTTGGAAATACTGAGGTTTGAACTCAGGGCCTTGCACTTGGTAAGCAGGTGCTGTGCTGCTTAAGCCATACCCCAGCCCAAGTTATAGGAGTTTTCGAAAATATATCAAATATGAATTTTCCCTGTTTAGGGTTTGTCTTTTCAATCTAATAGTATCACTTGAAGAACAGAAGTCATAAATTTTGGTAAAGTCCAATTCATCAATTTTTTCTTTTGTGGCTTATACTTTGTGTAACATTTAAGAAATTACTGTCTAACTCAAAGCCACAAAAATGTTCTACTTCTCCTTCTATAAGTTTTATAGTTCTAAGTTTTATATTTAGGACTGAAATCCATTTTGAGTTAATGTTTTCATATAAAGTGAGGTATGACTACAAAATTTAGGGTTATTTATTATATATTAATATCCAATTATTGCCTTACCATCAGTTGAAGACTATTTTTCTCCATTAAATGTGTCAGCCTATCAGTTGATCATACATGTATATGTCTATTTCTGGGGGCACTGTGATCTGTTCCTTTGATCTACTTGTCTACCTTTATGTCTTAATTATTGTTAACTTTGTAATGAGTCTTCAAATCAGGTAGGATTAGTCTTCCAAGTTTGTCTTTTTCCTAAAAGTTGTTCTAGATATCCAGATATTCTAGATCTTTTGCATGTCCTTACAAATTTTAAAACCAGCCTTGGTTGGGGTATAGCAAAGCATAAGACCCTAAGTTCAAACCCTAGTACCACAAAAAAAAAAAAAAAAAAAGCAGCCTTATCAAAATTTAAACTGCAGTTGTGTTGAATCTATAAATAAAACTGGAAGAACCCATATCTTAATAAACAATATGAAGTCTATCAACTCATGAACAAAATATATTTAAGTTTTCTAAATTGTTCCCAATATTTTATAGTATCCAGCATATAGATCTAGATCATGTACATTTTTGGTAAAATCTGTCCTCAAGTATTTATAATCCTTATGCTGTTATAAATGAAATTAGGAGTTTCAGTTCCTAATTCCTTGTTGCTTGCTGGTAAAATATTAGAAATACAACCAAATTTTGTACGTTGATTTAGTATCTTGAAGTCTTACTAAATTCTTTTATTAGTTCCAGTAGTTTTTCTGGTAAACTCTAAACAAGATACCACGACTAATCGATTAGAATGGCTAAAATGAAGACTATGTAACAAGTATCAGCAAGAATTTGTGGAATACTTTTATATTTATGCACTAATGATAAGAATGTGACATATCACAACTTATTTAAAAACATCTTAATAACTTTTTAAAAAGCTAAACATACACCTTGCATGTGATCTACATACTCTACTCCTAGGTATCCAAGGGAACTGAAAAGATACAAAGATGTGAACATGAAAGTTCATAGCACTTAACTTGTAGTATCCCCAAACTAGAAATAACCCAAATGTCCATCAATAAATGAATGGATAACCTGACTGTGATATGCCAATGGAACACTAGTTTTTAATAAAAAGGAATAGGCTGCTGATACAATATTAATGAATTTCTAAATAATTAACTGACTGAAAAAGTCTAAATGAAAATGTATATAAAGTATGATTTTTATTTACATATAATTCTTTAAGGTGGAAACTAATGTAACAGAAAGTAGATCAGTAAGTGCCTGAGGAGGAATTAGCAAGAGACCTGAGGAAACTCTGGAGGGGATAGCTATAGCCACTGCCCCGTTTCTGGTGAGGTTTCATGTCAAAGTTATGTATTTTCAATTTATGCAGTTTATTACACATCCCAACAGAAAGAGGGAAGGAGGGAAGGAAGGGAGGGAGGGAAAGATGTCAGCATAATTATCACGAGATAGCCAAACTATGACTTTGAGTGTCATTATTCAAAATACTTAGAACTGCTTTAAGTTTAGGATTTTACAGTATTTTCATAAACATAATGAAGTATCTAGGGATAGACTCAAATCTAACACAAAATTCATTGTTTCATACATACTATATATAAGCCTAAATCCAATTTTACACAGCTGAGTGTGTACAGTTATGTGTATTTTGACAGCAACACATAAGAGGTTAAGTGTGGACTTTTTCCACTTATGACAGTATTCAGAAAGACTTTAGAGCATTTCAGATGTTGACATCTCAGATAAGGATGCTGAGCCTGAACATAATTTACATAACATAAAATTCACACTTTTGCCAGGCGTCAGTGGCTCACACCAATAAGCCTACGAACTTGGGAGGCTGAGATCAAGAGGATTGAGATTTGAGGCCAGTTCAGGCAAAAGAGTCCACAAGGCTCCATCTCCAAAATAACCACAGCAAAATGGACTGGAGGTATGGCTCAGAGTGAAGCCCTGAGTTCAAACTCCAGTCCTGCCAAAAAATAAATTCACCCTTTCAAAGTATACAGTTCAGTGTTTTTTATACTGTATAAAAATCTGTAAATCTTGTTGTATACTGACAAGATTGTACAACAATTACCACCAATTCTAAAATATTTTCATCACCCCCAAAAGAAATCTGTACCCACTGGGCATTGTAGGTCAAACATGCAATCCTAGCTATTCCGGAGGTCAACATCTGGAACAGCACACTTTGAGCTAGGATTACAGGTGTGAGCCACCAGCACCTGGTCTTTACAAACTTTTTAATCAAAAAAGTGCTTACCAAGTTCATTGAGACTCTGAGCGGCTTTTGTTATCTCTCTGCTTCCCCCTTGCAGTTGTCCTTGGAGTCTCTTACTGAGGTACAAGATGCGTATAATTCTCCGAAGTAAATCACAGGCAACCTGTTCAAGTACCACAATGTTAAATAAGTACAATTGATCCACAGGCTTTCATTGTTACTATCAATACTGTCCTTTCTTTCCAGATGCTAAAGATTGATTTATGCCTCTTTTGTTTTCCACTTACCAAAAGCTTAAATAATTATGCCTATTAAAAGTATCAAATCTCCAAAGGAACACCCAGCAGTACCACACTTGCCCTTCACAATAAACTCCAACTTATCCCAAATAGAAAGAATATGAGCCCAGAGTCTTTTAGTCCAGGATCCGTTTTCTTTTGGTTTAATGGTTCTCAATTTTACCTGCATATTAAATTCAAGAGGGTAGGTTCAAAAAGTTCCGATGCCCAAATCATAGCCATGACCAATTAAATTAGAATCTCCTGTTTTTGTTTTGTTTTGTTTTTGCGGTACTGGGGCTTGAACTCAGGGCCTACACCTTGAGCCACTCCACCAGCCCTTTTTTTGTGGTGGGTCTTTTCAAGATAGGGTCTCGCAGAGATTTGCCCAGGCTGCCAGGCTAGCTTCGAAACCCGATCCTCCTGATCTCTGCCTCCTGAGTAGCTAGGATTACAGGTCTAAGTCACCATATTTTTGTTTTGTTTTTTTTAACATCCCCAGGTGAGGCCAATGTGCAGACCATGGTTGACAACCACTGTACAAGGCTTCCTACTACTGCCTCCAACTCGTTTCTTTTTCTAGGTACCTAGAAGAATAGTCTTGAAACTTCTCCCACTTTTCCTGTTCCTTCATGAATAAGCATGCCTCCATTTAAATTTTCCTCAAGGTTTTTAATTAATAAATTATAAAAAAAGAGAAAATTATGAAGACAGAACCAAAAAAAAAAAATCAAACTTTCATTCCCTTTTCTTTCCCAGATCTAATACTGAGTCTTAACCTATTCAAAGGCTGAGATAAAAAATAAACACCATATATTTCAGAACACTCTATTACATAAGTTGAATCCAGAGCAGTTACCTTGGGGAGAGTGAGGTGGAGGGGGACAGATGGAATGATTACTACATAGTGATCTTCAGCCTCAACAGTGATAATAAAGCAATGACGATCGGTCTATACTACTGTATCACCACCATCTTTGAACAGGCCCTGGGATATATGAATAGCAACATTTTCCCTGCCTACAAAGGAAAATCCTAAATGGTGGCAATAAGAATTAAAGTCCCAGGAAGACAACGTCTCTGGGCCTGCAGCTATAATTCCTTTCTGGGTAAAACACCAGAGCCACACATAGCCACATTCATGCAGCAACAGACCTAACATGCACACACAAACATACAATATTTGTAAATTTATGTAAGTCAAAGGCATACACATCTTAATAATGTTTGCTTGACTGCTTTTCAGAGTAACAATGGTTTCAAATACTTAGAATAATAAAGAATTTCTTTTAAAGATACTTTCTGTGTATTGTATACGAACAAATGAGTATAATTGAAACCTGTTCCATTAGAACTGAAGTTACCAATACAAACTTGTACTGCTTTTAATATTAATACAGAAATAAATAGGATATATAGTATACACACACACCCCACACACATGCAAACACACTTTCTAGCTAATAGGTAATACTCAGAGTATCTAGAACAAATGACCCAGTAGAAGAAACATCCTTGGCTCCCAGAGCTGTTTCAAAATATTATCCTCCACTAAAGAAATCAGAGCTCCTTGGAGAAAAACTTAATTCAAGGTTGGGGACAGCAAATGTACACAATGAATGAACCTAGAATACCTTGTGCAAAAAAAGAAATACACAAAGACTGCATGAAACAGGTAAAGGCAACACTACAGCCAGCTTGAGGAGATTTTAATTAGCTGAATCTGATCCAATTTGTGTAGGAAAATACTCAAAATTATGGACTAAAGTAGAATTCAGGGCTGGCAGGGTAGCTCAAGCAGTAAGAGCGCCTGCCACAAAAAAAAAAAAAAAGAAAGAAACCTGAGGGTAAAGCAAGAATCCATCAGCATACACTTTGACAGAAAGTTAACTAACGAGCATAGAAAGAATGAAAACGTTAAGAAACTATTAATGACTTTTAAAACTAGTGGATGAAAGTTTGAAGAAGACCAAGATATTTATATAGTCTGAATATATCTGGTTACAAATTACTAAGTGACTACAAAGAGAAAAACAGTAATTTCACAGTGGAAATTCCTAGCAAACTTAACCAAATGACCAACAGTTAACATCACCGATACAAGAACAAACTGATACCCTGATATGATGCTCTAGGAAGGATACACAACTACTATGTTATTTGGTCAAAAACATATAATTTTAGTTTTGTCATGAAGAAACATCCCACAAGTCAAATGTAAGGGACATCCTATGAAGTAACATATTCTTTAAAAATTATTAATAATATACTTTTCAAAAGTGTCCAGACCAAGAAGGATACAACCAAGGAGCTGTTCCAGACTGAAGACTAAAGAGGCATGATAACAAAGTGTAATGTGGGATCCTAGACTGTGCTCTGGACTGGAGAAATAATAGTAATAAAGCTCATAACTCAAACAAAACAGAAAAAAAAAAGAATTTCTCCCAGGAAAGTAAAGATTTGGGTATCATTATCTTACAATGAAATGTTTTTGAATAGATAATATAAATACAATCCAAAATTGAAAAGATAAAAGAAATAATGTTGAAAAATAACCCTCACATCTCTATGTCCCAACTGCGTACTTAACAGAAAGTCAGTTACCAGTTTCAAGCTTGTGGGAATTGTTTTTGTTTTGTTTTGTTTTGTTTGATTTGTTTTGTTTTGAGACAGGGTCTCACTACAAACGCCAGTCCAAGCTGGCCTTGAACCGACAATCCTGCCTCAGTCTCCCTAGTGCTGGAATTATAGGCATATGCAGCAGAATCTAGAAGAATTGGCATTTTTAGATGAGCAATTTGGGGGCTGGAAGAGTGGCTCAAATGGTAGAACACCTGCCTAACAAGCAGGAGGCCCTGAGTTCAAACCCCAGTATGGCCAAAAGAAAAGAAAAAAAAAATCAGTAAAACCATAACAGCCTCCTAGATAAGCAATTGGAATTTAGAGTCTCTGTCAACCATTTCTCTGAGATTCTAAATATATCATGAGGAGATATGCCAGATATTACTCTAGATCACCTACAATGGTCCTTTCAGAATTCCTCAGTCTTACCCAATAAAGGGAACACCCTCAAACATGAAATCAAGTTTATTTCTAATGTTTGGTTTGAACAACCATACTCTGTCATCAAGTCTTATTGACTATCCTACTACATAATACAAGCTTTGTCATTTTACCTCTATTCCTACAAGCATCATCCTAATCCAAATCTTTAGTACCTTCACCTTAACACAATGGTCTCCTGGCTAGCTTTCCAGTCTCTCACTGAAATCCATCATGCCAGACATATCTTCTTAAAAACAGTTTTCAACACTCCAGTCTCTTTTTAATAAACTTCAGTGCCTCTCTATTTATAGATTATGTTGAATTTTCTGAGAAGGGCATTTAATAAAATCCTCAGTCATCGATTCTTAGCTAATCTATAAGGCATCAACTCTTAACATTTCCTAGTACAGTTGCCTCCTCTGCCATGGGTTTTTTCCTGATTTTTTATTTTAGAGTTTTATTAAATATAATACAAACATTTAAGCTCACATTCATATATATATCTAAATGAACTTGGAACCAACACACAGACACACAACTGCATTAGCCACCACAAAAGCCCTCTATGACTTCCCTCACAATCACATTACCCTCCATCTCCTACTCAACCCAAGAAAAACAACTATTCTCACTTTAATGCTAATAACTTCCTCACTTTCGTTTATAGGTTTTGTTTTTTGAGTTTGGAATTTATTTGTTCAGTGGTGGGAATCAAACCAACCTAGACAAGCACAATTAGCCTCTCACAATCTAGACAAGCATTCTCTCGCTGAACTATATTCCCAACCTTTTTTATGGTTTTATTGCTGAAGTAAATGTATACCTAGAAGTTTAATTTTGCCCTTTTCTTTTTTTTTTGGCAATATTGGGGTTTGAACTCAGGGCCTCACGCTTGCTAGGCAGGCACTCTATCACTTGAGCCATGCCCCTAGTCTGTTTTACCTTCTTTTAATTATTTTTCAGATAAGGTCACGTATTCTTTGCTGGCCAGCCTGGACCACCATCCTCATACTTATGCCTCCTATGTAGTTGGAATGACAGGAGAGCACCACTATACCCAGCTTTTTCGTTGAGATGGAGTCGCTAACTTTTTGCTTCCCACCAGCCTTGAACTGCAATCCTTTTTTTTTTGTGGCTTGGAGTTTGAACTCAGGGCTTCACATTTACAAAGCAGGCATTCTACCACTTGAGCCACTCCTCTGGTTCTTCTGATCTCTCCCTCCTAAGTAGATAGGATTACAGTGCAAGTCACCACACATGGCCAACTCTGTCCATTTATAACCTATAGATTTCCTCACCATCCTTTTTGATTCACTATTTCTTGAATACATTGGATCATTTGTCCTACAGGGTTTCCTACAGACTGTTTTGTTGAGTGTATTGCCATAGCGCAGTTTAACAACTTTGTCTCTCTTCCACACTTCCTATAAATTAGTAGTTGGATGTAGAAAGTAGGCAGTTTCATTAAATTCAGGTTCAATATTTCTCATAAGGTTAATCATTAGGTGGTGGTATATTTATAACACAGGTATAATTTTTACTTTTTGGGTTGTCAGCAGCCACTAATATTAGTATCAAAATCTATTAATTACCTAATAGATTGCCAAATGTGATACTCCAATCCTACTGTTTCATCTTTATTTGCAGCATATAAAATTTCTCAACATAAAGAAATTTTACCTCATCTACTATTTGGTTGCCCAGGGGTGTGTTTATAGAGGAAAATAAAAATAAATACTTGAACTTCTCTTGACTTAGCAGTTTTCAACAGGAAGGATTTCTAACATCCACTAAAGATGAACAACTGGGAGTGAGGAGTACTTTTTAGGGGGGGTGTTAT